AGTTCTACTCTGTCCTACAGGGTCACTGTGAGTCAGAATCGACTCGACCACAATGGGTATATGATACTGAAGGTATAAAACTAGTTGAGGTTACCTGGGAATGAACGTAGGTAGAGAAATCCACTGACTGGGGACATTACACAGTCAAGAGGCTGAAAGGAGATTTCAGCGAACCAGTTGAGGAGCAGTCAGTGAAATAAGAAAATCAGGAGCCCTGGAAGTCCGGAAGGGAGCCCTGGTGGCACACTTGTTAAGCACTCAGCCAGTAACCAAAAGGTCAGCGGTTTGAACCCACCAGCAGCTCCACGGGAGAAAGATGTGGCAGTCCGCTTCTGTTTAAGGATCACAGCCTTGGAAACCCTATGAGGCAGTTCTACTGTGTCTTTTGGGGTAGCTTTGAGTCGAAATTGACTCGATGGCAATGCGTTAGGAAGTCCAGAGAAAGCATTTCAAGGTGGAGAAAGCGATCAACTGTATTAGATACTGCTAATGACGTGAGCAAACTGAAGACAGAATCAGCTACAGGACTTGCAATGTAGAGCTCGGTCCTCAGCTGAATGGCCGTCAGTAAACTGAAGATTTGTTGGTGCTTAGTCTAAATGAATTTCACTTAGAACTCAAGAGGTGAAGGAGTCACACTTTTAAAACTGACTTCTGCTGTAGAGAAAAACTCTAATGTTGCTTCAGAATTAAACGGAGAGGCTTATTAAGGGTTTTAAAAGCAGGCTGGACCAGGAACATCGCAGCTCATGAGGATGGAAATCATGAGTCCGAAGCACAATAACTACAAGTCTTTTTATAAGATTTAGACAAAGAACAGGGCTTGTGCTATTTAGATCAGTGGTTAGTGAGGTAAGGGGACTGAGTTACAGAGATGACAAATTATAGTCACAGGATGACGTCATAAAACTTTGTTTAATGAGAAGTATCTCTAAGGAAGTTTGGGGACCAGATTTATGATGGGCATTTGGCACCAGGTGTCTTCTTTTTAGAATTGCTTGCTTTACCAAAATCAGTTTAAGTTACTTGAGGAATTTCAGATAAGGCTAACTCTAAGCCCCTCTCAAAACAGTTATCACGCCTTTGTCATAAGGAAATATTTTCTGGGCCCACTATACACAAAATGTACTTACGTCAGTATTGTCTTTTCAGAGCACATTGCTTTTACATCTCGACCCTGGCCCAGAGAAAAAATTCTATGGTTACATGGTAGCTAAGCAGTTAAAATAATTTAATGATAGGACTTGTGAGCACTCTGGGTTGACTCAGTTAATTAAACAGGGATCCCTGGGCAGGCAGGTAAAAAGACAAGTTTAATTTAGCAAAAACTGAGTTTAATTATCTAGTCTTAGTAAAAAAAAAGCTTTGTGAACTTTTCTTTTACGCTTCTCCACCTACATTCATTCCCAGATAACATCATACAGTTTTACAGTATCAGTGTCATATCCTGTTGCCATGGATTCTGACTCAATTCCCAATTTTTATTTCTCCCCCTTGATTAAAGTAATACGTGACATTGTAAAAATCATGGAAAACAGAGAAAAGCATAGCAAAGGCTATTTAAATCATGCATAACACCCCCTACCCCACTCCCAGTCCGCTATCTATATTTGGGTTGACTTTCTTTCCAGGCATTTTTCCTAGAGTGTTTTTACACAATAGAAATTATAACTTGGGCATTTGACTCTATATCCTCCTAACATAATCTTTGTTCACCCCAATTAAAATGAACGTTTAATGACTAATATTCCATTGTATGGCAGTATCAGAATTTATTTAGCCAAATCCTAATTTGGAGGCATTTGCAATAGTTTTTTACACTATTATAAATAGTTCTGTGATGAATATCATTATATATAAATCTTTCACTGTATCTTTTCTTAAGGCAAATTTTGAGAAATGGAAATACTGGTGTAAACACCTGGCTTTTTTAAAGCTCTTACTGCCAAACTCCTTTCCAGAAATAGTCTACTAATTTACACTCATACGTGCACTGTGTGACTGCCTGTCTCATGTGACCCTTTACGACAAAACTGAAACACTGAGAATTATCTTTACAACACAACAAAAAACAACTTGGCTAATCTGACCGGAGAGCTCAATGAGTTAGAATGGCTAACCTAACGTTTTCATAATTAAAAAAATACTAAAAGAAAAAAAACATTTATCATAAAAGTTTAGAAAATACATATAAGCAAAAATGACTACTCATAATTCCATAACCACTTGAGCACCATGACTGCCAATTTTTTTTTTTTTTTAAACAAACGGTGGGATGCAATATATCTTATACAACTTGCTTTCTTTTGGTCAATAATGCATTGTTAAGAGTTTCATTGTATGGCTATACTACAATTTATTTGATCAATTTCCTATTGTTAGACATTCAGATTTGAAATATTTGGCTTTTGTAGATATATTTTAACACCTCCACAATCATTTCCACAGTATTAATTCCTATATATAAAATTGCCATCAGAGGATACAAAGATTGAGGCTTTTGATTTGCATTGCTAAGTTGCCCTCTAAATCATTACATTTATCTCCAGTACTGAGAGTCCACTCCTTACATTCTGACAGCAGGCTTAGTTTTCAATGTGTTTTTAATCACTACTAATTTCTGGTGTGGGTAATCAAGGTGTCCAGGAAAAGATATACCAGAGCATGTTGGGTGGGACACCACAGACTTGTTTTTACACACTGGTAAGATTAGGTGGTTTAGTTTCAATGTTTCTAGGTTAGTCTGTGCTTGGTCTCCTAGAAGGTGATTAACTCAGGCAGAGAGGGGACAATTGCAAACACACTGTGTCCAAGAACAGATCTGGACAAACCAATCACAGTGGAAATAAATATCAGCTTTATTAACACTCAAAGTGCGATTCATTTATATCCATTCCATAGTCCAGAAGGTTACTTAGAGTAAGCCTTTGCACCACAATCTTTCAAAAATGAACTAGCATGTAAGAAAAAGCAATTTTCATTGTGCTAATTATTGCAGGCTTTCATGCACAGTAAATCTAAACAAAGATGTGTTCCAACAATATACAAATTTCCATATAAACAAAGTCATTGATCACTAACAAAATATAAACATGGCTTCTTTTACATTAGATTTAAAAAAAAAATGCTATTTACCAGCAAGAAGAAAAAAATACATAGAAATTTAAAACTCAGAAATTTTATACATTTTTACAAGCACGATTTTGAATGAACAACACAAAGTCAAAATGTGCATGAAACGTGGCACAAACCACACTATATCTGGCTTCTGGTAGGTTTTTCTAATCATACCGGCTCCTTTTAACATAATAAGCTTAGTGACATTCAACAGTATACCTTATTCCTAACACAAGTAATTTTACGTGGTACCGCATATTTAAAACAAGGTTCTCTGTTTTAAGTACAATAACATTGTCAGATTGGAAATTTAATTTCCAAATCTTTCTGCCAGTTACTAAAAACACACAGTACAGTATAAAGACACAACAATGTATGTTTGGAAATTTCTAAACCAATTTATAGTCAACAAATTACAGAGAATCACAATATGCCAATGTATTGTTTTATAAAACCCAGTCTGCCCTTGTCCAGTAAGAGAAAAACTAAAAAGTTGAAATATTTTGGGTGAGAATAAAGGAAACACTGAAAAGGAACCAGAGGACAGGCCGACAGCAACTGGAGATATAAAATCTTGACATCTCTTCAAGGCAGTTTAGTTTTTCACATGTTTTCACAGCTCTAAGAACTCAAAAGCTGTCTTAGCGGACGGTGTGTTTTTGTTACTGCTTAAAGCACATTTTATTTTCTTAATTTGCATTTCACAGAATTCTCCAAAGAGAACTCAATGCTGTTCCTTCCAAGAGTGTTTTAATTGAGATCTAAGTACAATTTGTGTCCAATTCTGAAAATACAAATACATTTCAAATGGTTAAAAACAAAATTAAAAAAATACTTTTGATCAGCCAGCTGAAAATATATTCATATAGTAAATAATCTCTCAGAAAGCTTTTATATATTTAATTACTCTAACTAAATAGTACCCTTATAAAACAAGTTCATAAAAATGTAGAAATGAAACAAAATAAGAAATTACTGGGATATATACATGTACCTACATAGAGAAAAAGACATTTCCACACAAACATACATCTCCTGATACACAGTTACAAGCATACTTCAACTTAGCAATGGATTTTAGAAGATATTACAAAATTTGAAAGTAATGTTGAACTCCTGAGTTCTTCAACAAAGACAGAACCATAGTAAGTCTACTCTGCAAAAGCAAGACAGTCCGCTGATGTCAGCGACTGCGGTGCAGTTACTGATGACTACATCTTGAAAGAAGTGAAAACGGAGACAGACAGTAGTTCAATGCATGCACTCACGATGCTCATACACTCATCAATAATTATTGGTCAGAGTAGTAAATCAGTGTACAAATTAAACATTTCCAAAAATGTGCAAAAAAGTCAACCTTGATAGGAAAAAAAACCTTCATACATAATTATAAACTGCCCAGCATTCAACTGAGATTAAAAACATTTACAGAAATTAATAATTAAATTTAGAGCATTAATGGCTAAATTTTAAAATGTACACGAGGTTAAAGGGTAAATTTACAAATTGATAATCATAGTTTTGCAATTAAAAGTTCATTCTCAAATTTATTCACTTTTATTTTCGATATTTGAATGAAACAAATCATGTGAAATTTAAGAGATGTCCAACACTAAAAATGTTTTTGGTATTAACTCATCTATTTAGGAACACAGGGTAGCAAATTTTAAAACCAATAGCAATAGAAAAGATGCTGTAAACCTTTTACTTGTTAAAATTGTATTTCAAAAAACTGTTTTTAAAGAAGTATTCTTATCCTTAGACACTGTACTTTCAGCTAGACAGGATATATTGCAAGGGTTTGGCCCACTTTCTTTTGCCCATAAGCCTTTCAAGCTCAAATGTTTTCTCAATTTCTCCACTAGGCCTCTCTTCTCGTTCAGGTGAAAAAAATTTTGGAAAAATGAGAATATGTCAAATCCATTTCAGAGTTTAAGTATCCAATAGAATTTAAGATATAATTCTGTTACCTATCTTCCCCCTTCCCTCTAAGTAATGCTAAAATTACTAGTTACGTATGTTTTTAAAAAATAAATTCTAAAAAAATATAAATAAATGAACACAAAAGTGCTTTTCATTATAGTCATGAACTTTACTGTTCTCAACAGGCATTAAGGGACTCAGAAATCCTTATTTGGGGACAAATTCTGCACATATACTAGAGAGCAAACTCTTCACGTTCCAAAATGTCTATGGTACAAAGCAGACATCCGTCCATAACCTACTTTTCTTCACAGCTTTCCTGAAATGCCCCTCAAGTCAGACACGAGTTCATAAATGTTAAGACACTAGGAAGAAAGTATGCCACAGATCTGAGGCCTCATAAGGGAACGGATATGTATCTGCGTGTATGGCCAAGTGACATTAATAAGATTGGCACGTGTACAAGCTCAAGTTCATAACATCTACAGTTCCTTAACAGCTGAAGTAAATTCTGCATGTAAATGCACAGGACTGAGTACCTGTCCTTTTCCTTGAAGGACAGATTGAGATACAAATTCTACTAGTGCCTGCTTTATAATTTTTATACTATTAGCTTACAGGTGGGCAGTAGTAACAGTGCTAATTATTTTGGCTATGTGCGCAAGGAATATAAAAACTTTGGTTTAAAGTTATTCTGATAATAAACATTGTAAATACAAACAAGAAGTTATCAGATATAGGGAGTAATAGTACCTACTGATTTAATGTATTTGCTGTTATTAAAAATACCATGACTCAAATAAAATGCACAATTATGAAAAATTATGCGAGACTGTATACAAGAAACAGATAAAATTTATTCTTTTTATTATAGCTATGCCTCATCCCTCAACTTTCTGAAGCTCAATCTTGACCACTCTCACCATCTCTGGAAGAATCTCTAGGCTCCACGGAGAGCTCATTATCATCTACAGCTCTGAGAGAGGAGTAAAGAGACGTGGTTGGCCCTGATACTTTCCACATGTATTATCGCATCCTGTCCAGACCATGGCAGAAGACAAAGCAAAGCTACACACGACTGTGAAGTAGAAACAGTGGCTTCACAGCACGCCTTCCCTAGCCAACCGAAAAGAGGTATAAGAGAGTTTCCTTTTGAATACTTGGTAAGCTAAGGAAGTTGTTTTGATGATGTCTGGAATTTCTATTCCAAAGAGTTCATTAGGAACTATGTAAAACAATTACTTTCTATTTAAGAATTATATATCAGCTCATTATTATACACACACATACACATACAAATTCAATTTTAATCTACTTTCAGCAATCAAGAGTTTGGCAATTACAATAAATACCTTTATTAAACAGTTATCTGTACTAGCTACTTGTGGAAATGTGCTGGCTTCCCTGCCTGAAGATGATTACACTGATCCATCATCAGTAGGATACATACTTTTAAGGTGTTCCTCCAAGAACGGAGACTGATGTATTAAACACTCACACCTTTTCTACCTTCTTTCCCACCCCCGCCCCAACTCCAAACACACAAACACACACTTCACAGAAAAGCTACAGTATTAGTCAAAATGGTAGTGAAAAAGTAACGATTAGAATTCATTCTCCCTGGCTGTCTTGCTTATTGTCCTAAGTCTCATTGCCCCAACATTCGTAAACCATTTAAATGACTTCTTTAGGGCAAAAACAATCACTGTAGCTCTGCTATAAAAATTATAACTGAACTATGATACACATATAACTTGCTCAGTGCCAACATGATTGAAAAATCAAGTCATCAATCTGGAAAACGATTTGCTACGTCTCTTTAGAATACTTCTTTCTATGCTTTGTCTAGTGGAGACTGCAGAGTGTCTGTCACAGGCAAATGCTAATGTTACTCTCCCAACACATTAAAAAAGAAAAAAAAAAGAGGTGGTAAAAAAGGGTAGGAGGAAGAAGCAAGCATTAAGAAACATTTAAGGGCCAATACACAGTCTAAAGGCCAAATGAACTCTTGAAATCTAATGATTTTGGAAAAATCTTCATTTTGGTGGGTAAACTGAATTATTACTGATATAAAGATAAGGCATACAGAGAAAAAGGCACTACTAAAATTTAAAGATTAAGTTGCTTTTCATTAACATTTAACCAATCTTAAAATCTAAGTAAATAAGACCATTGCATTTGTAACAAAGACCAAACTTAATGAAAAAAAAAAAACAGCGTGTTCTCTAGAAGTTGTGCTTATCTTAGCGTAAATAACACTGTTGACAGAGTTCAATTTCTAACAAATGTTCTCAGTGTCTTAACAATTTAGACAAAAAAATCTTGTTCTTTAAAAGAAGCAGCTAGAAAAGCACTGTTATGGAATAAATGCTCCTTATCACTGGAACTGTTTGAGCAGTTTGGGTATTGTAAAAGGGGTTCCTGAGAGAAAGGCAGCCTGACCTAAGGGGATCCCTCCAATTTGAGGAGACTTTAAGTCCTGTTATTAATGACATTTCCGTTTCTAACAGTCAGTGTTACCCCAAATTGCTTTTCCCCTCACTTCATAAAAAATAGTCAGAAAATTTAAAATCATCACTGTTGAACTTTCAGGGTTAGAGTACGCCATAAAATAAGTGACTGTCTGTGCCCGTGTTTCCTCCTAGACTATGACCTCCTTAAGCATAAGTTAATTTGGCACCCAACACAAATAAGCCACAATTATTGAACAAGCAAATGAAGAAGTCACCCTATTTAATAAAAAAAAAAAAAAAAATAGATAGATTCCTAAGCTTGATTGACACCAGGTGATTTTCATAGCAAGCTTTTGGTTCCTAGACACCAAATGAAATCATTGGCACAAAACTCTGCAATGGGCCAAAAAGTTTGCATCTGGCAAATATCTTGGCTTTTGCATTCAAGCTTGGTCATCCCTCTAAACTATTAATATTTGGCTTTATTTTCTTAATGTGATTTCACGTATCTTATAAATTGCATTTCACAGAGCTTATAAAACTAAATCTCAAAAATACTGCAGACCAGACCTGACAGAGCTGGAGGAGCAGAGAGATACTCTAAAGCAATAGTTTCGTTTTATGTAGTTTCCACTGGGAATAAGGTAAAAACTCTCTCATGTGAAAGCAGGGCTTCAAACTAGTTCTTCCCGATTCAGAAATGGCCAAGAAAGCAAAACTGGAACAGATGTGAATTTTTAAAATCTGTGTGAACCAGAATGGGAATAATTTTGGGTCAAAGCTCTGCTGGAAACCTAATCACCCTCTTGGAAAACAAGGGCAGCATACGCGTTGCATAGCAACCAAATCTCTTGCCCATCAGATTTTGAGCAGAGTCAGAAACGAGATGCCCTGCTCAAAGATGGTGGCCAGCTGCACCACTCTGAATGTGTCCTTCTCCACAGTCCTGCTGAAAATCCAGTGTCATGCATCAGGCCCCTGAAAGGGCTCACTATGCCTCTTCCGAGTCTCCCAATCCAGGGCTTCAACCCGTAATTTTTCCTGTTCTGGTTATCATTCTGGATCACCCAAATCATAAAAATTCAGGTCTGTTCTGGTGTCACTTTGTCAGCCATGGCTGAACTGGTTCAAACCAGTTCAAAGCCCTGAGTGAGTCAATCCAATTTACTCTGAAATAAAATTTTTTATTTTTCTTGTATAGTTCAGCGTGTGCATTAATGTTTCAATCCTTATATACATTACGAAGGTTGACTGTAAGGTTGACTGCACCTCTTAAAACTTTCTAAGGCAATAGACTTTAACCATTTAAGTCAGAAACATGTTTTTAAATGAGGAACCACGCTGAAAATTTTCAAGATAGTCACGATGAAATTTTCAAAGTCTGCATATTTTAAGTATGTTTTAAAGAATTACCAAACCATCAAAATTTCCATTCATCATTACCATGTTTTTCAACCCTTTTATTCACCATACTTTGTTTGCAAAACAAAAGATCTTATATTTGGTCCAAGTCTGAGTCATGCCACTCTGAATCTCTCAAGGCCTACGTAGAAAGATACATCCTGAAAAGCAAGGGAATCATCTCCATCACCACAAAGTCAGCCACTGTCAAAAGCAGAGAGCGTTTGAAAGGCACAAAGTCAACCGTCTGGCCATTCTCCAGCCTCAGCAAAGAAACCATTACAGTATAGAAGAATCAGTTGTACAGTTAAAAAACAAAATACATTTAGAGTCATCTGAAAAAGCTCAAAGTTCATTTGTTGACCCATACCATTATCAGAAAGAAGAAATGGAGTGTTATCTTTAACTGCCTCTGAAATAAGGTGCTTCCTTTCAAAATTTTATTTTTTAATTTACTTTTGGTCTTCCATACCTTTCACCCTCACCTTCAAGCATTTTTGTTCTAGTAGTTTTTATATATATTAACTCTTATTGTGGTTTTTGGTACCATCACAATTTGTTTGAAATTTTAAAATTCGAACCACATTTTACATAACTCTGTAAACTATTAAAGTCTTCTTACATAAAGAACATTACCTCCCCATTGTTAATTTTTTTTTCCCTTTCTTATAAAGCTAAGGTCTTCTACAGCAGTATTAAAGTAGTAGTTTCTTTTCATACGCATTTATTTTCTATAGGATTTAGAAAAGAAAAAAGAGACTGAAAAAAGCAAACAATTTTGCTGTGGGTTTCACAGTTTCCCAAGAATTCTCTAGAAAGAATAGTTCTCTTATACTCTGCACTGCTGGTTATCCTGACAGACCAAAAAAGAGCCAGAGGGAAATCGTAATCAAAGACAACGAAACGCAGGAAAAGGTCACTGGTACAGATACGTGATCTTGCTTAAGCAGAAGAGATGCCTTACTCATTAAGCATAAAGAAATTATAATAGACCCACACACTTGGGGATTCTGTTTTTGTACAAGATTTGGCAGTTGGCTTCCCAAGGGGGAGAGCAGGAACCTATTTCTTGCTCTTCCTTGCAAGTTGCTTCCTTTAATTATAAGAGTATGGAAGAAATATTGACAACTAATTTGTGCTTTGGCTTCTTCTCAGACTACTAGCAGAACTTCAAATATTCCTATGGGGAATGCCACACTGGACCCTGATACAGTAAACCAAGAGCTACCTAACTTCAGAAACAAAGTATTTTGAAAGAGTCCCTAGAAGAGCACACCTTTTGGCAGAAATAAGAATAACTGAATCCCTTATAAGGAGCCTCTGTGGCGAGTGGTTAAGTGCTCAGCTACTAATCGAAAGGCTGGCGGTTCAAATCCACCAGCTTTTTTGTGGGAGAAAGATGTGACAGTCTGCTTCCGCAAAGATTACAGGCTTGGAAACCCTAGGGGGCAGTTCTACTCTGTCCTATAGGGTCGCTATGAATTGGAATCGACTCGACTGAAATGGGGTTGGGTTTGGTTTTGAAGTCCCTTATAAATTCCATGAAAGGTATTACATTTAGGGGTTCCAGGAAGACTATTATTTTTCTATACCTTTAAAAATAAAGTACTTAGCACTTGCTAATATGCTGAAAACACTGCAAGTGGTCAAATCACTGATATCATCCCTGTTTTTCAGTAGCACAATTCCTTAAGGACAGTGGGACCTTTTCCAGTTGTCTCCCTCCATTTTACTAGCCTTGTTCTTAGTGGATACATTATAGCTGGCAGTTTTTGACCCTTCCTGTTAATACTTTTTTTTTTAAAATATGCTTTTTGTTTTCCACAATTTTGAGTTGGTCACTTGAGGAAAGGATAGGTGGTTGAGTTCAACAGGCTCACTGATCAAATTCAGTTTCTAAAATAGAAGATTTGGATACAATATGCAGTTGGTAAGAAAGGGATTGCTATTTACTATTTGTTGAGATCACTCACCCTTGAGTTGAAGTAGTAGTATTTGCTCTTATAAAATACTCATTTTGAATTACATTGCTTTCTATTTGAAATTTACCTTTTTTTGCTGGGAACCTCTTCTGTAAATGGTTGTTTTCAGTTTATAACTGGAACTGTTCTTTACATCAAGTTTTCTCAACCTCAGCATGACTGAAATTTTGGGCAGGATAACTGTTTTGGGGGGTTGTTCTTGTGCATTGTAGTATATTTAACAGCATCCCTGACCTCTATGCACTAGATACCAACAGCAATACCCCAGCTGTGACAACCAAAATGTCTCCAGGCATTGCAAATGGGAAGTGAAATTATCCCCCTCTCCCCCCACTCCCCCACGCTGAAAACCACCATTTTCTTGGGGCACTTTATTATTCTGTGATCCCATGGACAAGGGTTCCATTTCATGACACTAGCTTTGAAACATAGATCCTCTAGGCTGAACTCCTATTGCCTAAAGAACATTATCTATGGGGAATCAGGAGTTAGAAACAGGAAGATAGTGTACATAACTTTGATTATTTCTCCTTTCCCTTGATTTTGGAACTTTTTCCCTCAAATAAAGAACATAGTTTAAAACTTATTAAATTCATAATTCTTTTTTTTTCTTTTTTCCGTTATTTCTATTAACTGGCAAATGTGGTCTCTTCTACTTGCTCACAACATTTAATGAGAGCAATCTCCTTTTGTACTTTATTTTGGATTTGCTCTATTGACTTCCCATAACTGCTTTAAAATAAAATAGCATTTTTTTTTTTAAGCAGAAAATCATCCCTCAAGGTTTATAAATTCCAGTAACATGGATCTACTATAGTGTATTTGCTTATTATACTGGTTAGGATTAACAACTTAACATACCTCTTAGAGATTCATATTTTCTATCAAGATTTGTACTGAGCAAAAAGCTTGGTAGACAGAGATTAGAATATAAAGAATACAGATATAAGAAGGAATCTATATTCTTTGAGTACCTACCCTAAACTCAAGTTTAGGGCTCAACCTCCAAAAAATGAGGATCTACTTTAAATACTAACACTAAAAGCTACAAATTATATATCATTTTCTTTTCCTTGTTTTCCATTTCTCCCCCATCACCATAAATACATCAGTGATAAACAGGAAGACTCTACAATCTTTAGGTATTCCAAATGATTTGTTTTCACTAAAAAGAGTGACTATGTACTAAAGTGCTTTATCTCTCTGAACCACATCAGTACATTATAAAAATTAAAAAAAAAAAAAAAGTTTCAAGTTCTTTGTAAGGGGAAAAAAAGACTATAAAAAATTTAGGCTACTATTATTATTAAACAAATTTAACCAAGAATCAAGAGAAATACTTTCCCTCTTGTCTTTTTTTCTTCCCCATCTCTCTTTTTTATAAAAAAGAAAAGTGCAGTCAGAGAGAAGGTGAATGAATTGATGGTAGCTGGGTAGAGGCACAGGAAAGGTTATTGGCCGCTAGTGATAATGCACAAACATGTGCCTCAAGAGTTCATCAGCTGAGGGTCTCAGTTTGGCCTCCACGAAAATCCGTTTGAGGAAATCTCGAGTATAGTCTGAGACATGGGGTGGCAGCTTTGGGTTTGTTGGCTGGGTGGCGATTTTAAAGATGGCAGCCATTGCTTCAAATTCAGCCCAAGGAGGCTTTTCCGTTAGCATTTCTACCACCGTGCAGCCGACACTCCTGCAAAGAAAGAAGAAAACACATTACACAAACAATAACATAACGAGAAATACAAGTAAAATGCATATACATTTGAACACAAGTTGATTGCAAGTTTAAAGTTATATAAAATTGTAATTTAAATATAAAAGTCAATGAAAATAAACCACAATTTAATGACTATCATTTAACTCAAATGGTTAGGCAAAGAACATTACGTAGTTTAGAATTTTTGTTTTATGTATAATTCTCTTAACTGACATTAAATATGATTTTTTGTCCTTATCTCATAGAGAATACAAGCATTAGAAATTCTTTTTTGCTTTCAGGTGCCTAAAATGAACATCTACTCAAATCTTTTCTGGGTAGGAAGCAGAAAACAGCCATTTTATGTTCTAACTTAAAATCATTAGGCAATTAAGGATTAACTGAATTTTAAGAGACTGATAACAAAGATTAATTACTTTTAAAGTTCCTGGCAGGGAAATAAAATAAAGCTAGCTTCTACTGCGGAAGTCTGTTTAAGACTAATCCTTCCTAAAGAATTGAAGATAGGTTCAAGGACTTTAAACAGTCAATTATATGCCTCATAATTAAAATGATGTTACTCCTTGTAAGTCTAACACACTATTTTAAAAGTACAAAAGTTAATTTAAATCTGGCTCAGTAATTTGCATCCTGGGTGGAAATAAATAAGAAAGCAAGTAGTTTTCAGGCATATATAGCACCAAAACCTACCAGATATCTGCTTTTCTGCCATAGCCCTCTCCACTGATCACTTCGGGGCTCATCCAGTACGGTGTACCTGTGACAGACTTCATTCCTGTCCCTGAGAGACAGATGGTCTGAAGCCGTTTGCTGGCCCCAAAATCTCCTAGTTTGACATTGCCTGTTGAGTCTCGCAAAATATTTGCACCTGAAAATAAGAAATACACTCATTTCATTATTTTAATGGCAATCTAGAGCATACTATAAAAGAACAATGGTAGAGAATTACTCAATGGACTCTTAAATCTGTCTCCAAAAGTAGGCTGTTTTACATCTTCCGAGCAGTACCTGGCACAATGCTAGTCACAGTCAGTGCTCGGTGTCTGCTGCATGAACACTGACTGCTTTGAGTAATCTCGTGTTTCAGGAGCTAAGAAGGTTCTCCCCCTGAAAAAGACTAGGGCAGATGGGAGATGAGGATGACAAAAGAAGACAAAAGGGAAAGGACTAGGAAGGAAGCCCAGGGAAGGATGATGAAAGCAATACAGGGCTCTGTCCCTCAGTTTTTCCATCAGAAGGCAAGAAGCCTATGCCTGAAGTTGAGAAGCCAGCTTCTCCCCAGGAACTTCCTAAGGGACCATCATAACCAAACTTCCAGCACTATTTTTTCCCTTCTATTACTTAAATATTAGTTACCTTACACATTAACATTTTTCTTAATATTGGGCTTTGCTTTATACTAACTTTACTTCTCAATTTCTAACTATCTAAATTGGAAACCTCTTCCAAGTAAGCTTTAAACCTTTCATCAGCTTTTAAATTTCATTTATACTTTTAATAATCTTTTTATTTTAGAACAGTTTTACATTTATGGAATTACTGTAAAGATAGTCCAGAGAGTTCCTATATACCCCACACCCAGTTTCCCCCATTATTAACATCTTACATTAATATGGTACATTTGCCACAATGAATGAACCAATATTGATACATTATTATTAACTAAAGTCCATACTTTTTTTTTTTCATATTGTCTGAGTTTTTCCCTAATGTTCCAGGATCTTATCTGGGATACCACATTCCATTACTTGTCATGTCTCCTTAGACTTGACAGTTTCTCAGACTGTCCTTGTTTTTGATGACCTTGACAGTTTTCTGGATTAATGGTCAGGTTTTTGTAGCGTCCCTCAACTAGGATTTGTCTGATGTTTTTCTCATGGGGTAGACTCGAATATTGTGTTTTTGGGAGAAAAACCAGAGGTAAACGACCATTCTTATCACATCATATGAAGGGTATATACTATCAATATGACCTATGAATGTTGGTGTTAACCTTGATCACCTGGCTACAGTGTCAGGTTCTCTACTGTGAAGTTACTCTTTTCTCCCCCTTTCCATACCATATTCTTCGGGAGAAATTCACTATATGCAGCCCACACTTAAGGAGTGGGAATTATGTTCCACTTCCTTAAGGGAGAGTATCTACATAAATTATTTAGAATTCTTCTGCATAAGACATTTGTCTCTGCTCCCCACTGATTTATTTATATCAGTAGAGACATATGAATACTTTCAAAAAAACATTTTATTGTATTTTTGGCAGGAGTATACCCAGCAAAACAGGTTCCCATTCACCAATTTCTACACATATTGTTCAGTGACATTGGTTACATTCTTCACATTGTATCAGCATTCTCATTATTTCTGTTCCAGTTGTTCATACCCATTAACCTAGTCTCATAGCCCCCCAACCTTCTCATCTATGCTTTACAGTATTTGATGACCATATGGTCAACAAATACATGACTTTTTAAAAGAACAGAGTACTCAAGGGTGATACTCATTACTTTATGAGCTAACCTGCCATTTAGCTAAAAGGTGACTTGAGGTGATAGTTTCCGTTCAAGGTTTAAAGAGTTAGTCTCAGGGATTTCTCTGGTCACAAAGGGTCCAGTAAGTCTGGATTTTCTGAGAATTTGAAGTTCTGTTCCACATTTTTCTCCCTTTCTATCAGGATCCATCTATTGTAGCCCTGATCAGAATGTTCAGTAGCGGTAGCTGGGCACCATCTAGTTCTTCTGGTTTCAGGGTAGAGGAGGCTGTGGTTCATGTAGACAATTAGTCCTGTTGACTCGTTCCTTCTTTGAATACTGGGTTCCCTTCTTTCTCTTTTGCTCCAGACGAGTAGAGACCAACAGCTGTATCTTAGACAGCCACTCACAACCTTTTAAAACCCCAGCCATTACTGACCAAACTAGGATGTAGAACATAAACTTTAGGAACTACATTATGCCAAATGAGTTGTTCCACGAGACTATGACCCTAAGTCTTCAAACCAAGAAAACTAATCCTGTGAGGTGATTGGTTATGTCTAGGAAGTATCAGTTTCTGTGACCCTTGTTTTATTATATATATGTACATACATATATATATGTACATACACACACACACACACATAAACCAAAAACTCAAACCCATTGCTGTCGAGTCAATCCCAACTCATAACAACCTTATAAGACAGAGCAGAACTGCCACATACGGTTTCCAAGGAGCGGCTGGTGGATTCAAACTCCCAACCTTTTGGTTAGCAGCCAAGTCCTTAACTGCTTTGCCACCAGGGCTCCAATATAGATATATACATGCAAACACATATAAACACATATATATGTATTTTGGTTGTTGTTGCTGCAAAATTATATATAACGTAGCATTTACCAAAACATCCTTTTTTTTTTTTTGGGTGTAAAACTTAATGGCATCAGGTATCTTGGTCAAGCTGTGCATACTTCACCCATGTTCAGTGCTCCGTTCCCATCACCATAAATAAAAAATGACTACTAACTAGAGAATGAATCCCCACCTCCCACCCCTGGTAACCACCAATGAATGTTATCCTCCATATCTATAGCTATTCTTGTCGTTTCATAAAAGTGAGATTGTAAAATATCTGTCCTATTGTGACTGACTTATTTCACTCAGTATAATGTCCTCCAGGTTCATCCAAGTTCCAAGATGTTTTTGGAATTCATCTTTCTTTGTGCCTGTGTAATATTCCATTGCACGTGTGTACCACATTTTGTTTATCCATTCATCTGCTGATGAGCACTTAGGTTGTTTCCATCTTTCGGCCATTGTGAAGAGTGCTGCATTGAACGTAGGTGTACATATGTGTGTTGGTGTCTCTTCTATTAGATCTCGCGAGTATATACCAAGGAGTGGAACTGCTGAATCATAAGGCAGCTATATTTCTAATTTTTTGAGAAATCGCCATACTGTTTTCTATAGTGGTTGTACCATTTTACATTCCCACCTGCCGTGGATAAGAGCTGCAATCTCCCCACATCCTCGCCAACATTTGTTTTCTGTTTTTGTTTTTTGATCGGTGCCATCTTAGCAGGGGTGAGATGGTATCTCATTGTGGTTTTGATATACTTCTCTCTACTGGGAGCCGTGGTAGTGCACTGGTTAACAGCTCAGCTGCTAAACAAAAGGTCGGCAGTTTGAATCCATCAGCTGCTCCTTGGAAACCCTATGGGGCAGTTCTACTCCACCTTATAGGGTCGCTGTGAGTCGGAATCAACTCGATGGCAACAGGTTTGGTTTTTGGTTTAATGACAGAGAGCACCTTTTCATGTGTTTGTTGGCCGTCTGAATGTACTCTTTGGTGAAGTGTCTGTTCATGTCCCTTGCCCATTTTTAAATTGGGTTGTCTTTTTTGTTGTTGAACTGTAGAAATTTTTTATGTATTTTGGAAATTAGACCCTTATCGGATGTGTTATTCCCAAAGATTTTTTTCCCCTTCTGTAGGCTATCTTTTTACTCTTTTGATAAAGTCTTTTGATGAGCATAAGTATTTAATTTTAATGAAGTCCCAGTTACCTAATTTGTCATCTGCTGTTTGTACATTGGTAGCTGTGTTTGATAATCTTTACAAAAAATTAGGTCCTGTAGTTTTGTCCTTATGTTTTTTTCCAAGAACGGTATAGTTTTACCATTAACATTTAGGTCTTTGATCTGTTGTTAGTTTTTGTGTATGGTGTGACGTATGGGTCGCGTTTCATTTTTCTGCAAATGGCTATCCTACTTTGCCAGCACCTTTTGTTGAAGAGACTGTTTCTTATCCACTGAATAGACTTTGACTCCTCTGTTGAAAATCAGTTGCCCACAGATGGATGGATTTTTGAGATCGTGGAGTGAGAGGCTGCCTACTTTGTTCTTCAATATTGCTTTGCCTATTCGAGCCCTCTTTCTTATGCATATAAAACTGGTGATTACTTTTTCCATTTCAGTAAAGATTGCTGTTGGAATTTTGATCAGGATTGCATTGTATCTATAGATCACTTTGGGTATTATTGACATTCACAATATTGTCTTTCATTCCAAGAGCACAAAATGTCCTTCCATTTACGTAGGTCCCTCTTAGTCTCTTATAGCAGTGTTTTATAGTTTTCATTGTTTAAGTCTTTTACATCCTAATTAGATTTTTCCTAGGTATTTTACCTTTTGGAGGGCTATTACAAATGGTATTGTTTTCTTGATTACATTTTCAAATCTCTCCTTGTTAGTGTAAAGGAACCCAACTTTTTTTTGGTGTTGATCTTGTACCCTGCAATGTTGCTGAATTCTTCTATTAGATCCAGCAGCTTTCTTGGGAAGTCTTTGGGATGTTCTATGTACAGGATCATGTTATCTGCGAATATAGAGTTTTACTGCTTCCTCTCCAATTTGGATAGATACATAAATATTTACTCTCTACTCTGGGTTATAATCCAATACTACTTTATTTATTTTATGGGTCAGGCTGTTCCAGCTTTGGCCATTAGGATCTCCTTCTGCTGGCTCCTGATGAACACCCCCATCATTGTGTTCTTGTTTTTTTGTTGTTGTTGTTGGGGGGGGGGGGTTGCTTTAGTACTTTCTTAGCACTAAAAGATGCTCCAGGTTCATCTTGTATATTCTCTGCCCAAGTCCTAGAATCAGCCATTTCTCCAAGGAGCCCTGATTCCTTTTACTGGAGATTAGTATTAGAAATCAAGATCTAGGCATTACACTAAAAAAGTGAAAAGAGAACCTACAGATTGGGAAAAAATTTTTGGCTATGACATATCAGACAAGGGTCTAATCTCTAAAATCTATAGAATAATACCTCAACAACAAAAAGACAAATAATCCAATTAAAAATGGGCAAAGGATATGAACAGACACTTC